GAGTTCGGGGGCATGTCGAGGCATGTGAGAGCAGTACACCAGATGAAGCTTGTCGTCCCGCAAGCTTATTCCCAAAGGGTTGAACCAATTGACGAATAGTGAGAAGTTTAATTTCAGATAAGTTCCTTTAGCGTGAGGTTCGACTTTATCTGGATTGATCTTCTTCCAAGCTTTTGATTGTTGATAATCAAATGCTTTGTTGGGAGGTGCATCACAAACTCGGTCGGCCCAGTCTTCAATTGCTTTTTCAGTTTCAGGCAGAGAGAGGAACCACAAAAGCCAATCTTGAAAGTCTTGAGTTGCAAATATCATCTTGTACATGGCGTGAGGCGGACGAGTGGGTTGACTTTTTTTGCGTAGTTTGATTCGTGCTACGAGACCGGGCCGACCTAGACGGGAATTTTTTCGGAGATTGTACTTGCAGGCTTGGGCTTTTGGAGTAGAACGGTACAAACAAACGGCCCTCTGAGTTTCGAGGGGATATAGTGCATAGCACTTGGGGCAGCATATGTAGGAGTTGAACTCAGGAGTAAGGTCGAGTCGTTTGACAATAGTGCGGACGTCTTTTGCCAATAGGCTCTCGATGTCTTTCGTTGGGCGCGTAAAGGTTTCTATGATAGCCAAGATATGATCTCGAGCAATGCGGCATTTGGCTTGACTTAGACTGCAAACTAGATAGAGCCACATTATGAAATACATAATGGTCTCTGAGAAAATGAGAGAAGTCAGTCATCCTTACTAGTACAAATAAACAAAACAGACATACCAATCATACTTATAGTAGTTTTCTGATGAGAAGCCTGAAGCAACATCTCCTCATGTTTGTTGTGACCAGATAATCTAATTTGAGGAGATTTACCCGCTTGTTTGGGTTTGGAAGGTTGGATTTTTTCAACAGGGGGTGTTGGTTTTGGAGAACGGATTGCGGCTAGATGTTGTTGTCGTGTTGAAGGGTGGACAAGGGATCCTTGCTCCTCCTTGCCGTCTGAATTGGTGAAGGTAAGACTTGAGCAACGAGCGCAAACACATATCACATGGTTGGGGATAGGAGGCATGCTGAAGGAGATGAATCAAAAATCAGAAAGGTAGGTTAGCAAGTTGAATTATCAAGCAGGTGAGACTAGACCAATTGTGTGAAATGGTGACT